AGCACAGGTATCGGTGTGATGGGCAGTTGGGGCCTCCGGTCCGGCACGGATATCCAAGCATTCAAAGACCTCGGCCGGTCATGCACCTCCTCGCCTGCCAAGTGGCGACGCGTCCGTGATACCTCGAATCTATTACTACGAAGCACGAGTGCTTGGATCCATGAGTACGATTGCATCCATTGCTACATATGCTGTCATACTTAGGGGTCGAAAACGCTGGAGAGGTGGTGCCTGCATCTCAGCAACTGGCAACCTATCGGAGCAGCGTCTCCAATTCGGGCGAATCAGCTGATGAAGCACCGCGTTCTGGCCATCTGATTGCCCACAGCTGCATGATGATGGATGAATGTTTTCGGAGCTGTCCACTTCGCCAGGCTTCGGATAGCAAATACTTGCTGGTACCATCGCCTGCCTGTACTCGTACATGTCGACCAGTCTCGACAGAGGGAACGACTAGACACGGTGCTGATCGGTCGCTACGTAATAGCACCAGGCAGGAATCGAATCCCTCACCCGGTCATCGGGACCATTACTCGTACATATGGTCTATCCACTCCCCTCGCCGCAATCTGCAAAGGTGACAGAAAGGCCTGATGATATGGATGAAATTGCCATGGACTGAAGTCATATTATCAGCTCAGCAACAGGGTGCTGATGCTGCGAAGTAGGCCGTGGAAGCTCCCAGATGGCGTCCGTCTGCTGCTAGCGGCGCCAGCCCAGGGCATCTTCCATCAGCCGCCCCCCTGGCGCTGCACCAGAAAAACTGTCGCCTGCTGCGGCAGAGACTGCGGGGGCCCCTGGCAGCACTCAGGACCGCCGTAGACGGTGCTGACTGAGAGGAAACGGCTCAGGGCCAATGCCAGCCTCAACAACAAGGCCGGAGACGGTCTAGAACTAGAGCGGTTCACGGCCAGGGACATGGAGGCAGCGAGCCAGTAGTAGCGCTGTGGAAGCTAGCGGACGATCCAGGGCAGAAGCTGGGGGGCCACAGCTGATCTCCAGGCATTTGAATCTGGGCAGGCATGAGCAGCTGGGGGATTCTGATAATGACGATGACGATGATGACGATGATGGACGGAGTACGGAGGGCGCCCTGGCGAAGGAGCCAGGCAGACGCCGCATGTAGCACTCCGTCCTTGTCCTTGCACTCGTACCCGCTACGACGCGGCTGCTGCGCAAAGCTCCTGGGCACATGTGCAACGGCGAGTACCGGGAACCGTTGCCTCTTGCTGCTGCTCCGCGTACTGGGTGGTGATACCTGTGCCTCGCAGCGATCTGAACATCGACCTCGGGCGTTGACAACATCCATCCTCCACGCCAATGCAATGACACCCGTCGACTCGAGTCGGCCGCCGCGCGCTCGTACATACATACAGTGCTTTAGTAGATGCCCTTGTGCCGACATTAGCACCTGAGGTTCGATTCTCCATAGCCCGGCTATCGAGCCTGCGCCTTTTAGCACGGTTACACAAAGCGGCTGCGTGGGACGAGCGACTTTGTTTCTGCGGAGAATATCGCGCCCGGAGGAGGTACAAGTACGAGTACTCGTACGGACCAGCGTGGGCCGCTCGCGTGCGACATTCTCGCTAGCGCCACGCTGGAACCATTGCTCTGGGCTGCTTAGCCGCTGGCTGGCTCCAGCTCTTGGGTCGATGGTTCGTCTCTTGTCTGTCTTGACCCGATCGTGAGCCTGAGACTCTTTCTTCACCTTCACCTCACGTCAACGTCGTCTTCTGCTCTGCTCTGCCCACAAACCACCCCGACAGGACGCATTGGGACGCCCTTTTCTGCCCTCTGCCCTCCCTCTTGCTCTCCCTCGGCGGGCGCGAGTGGATGGCGCCCAGCAGACACAGGCATACGGCCGTTTGCGGCGTCTGGCCCGTGCCATGTCGGTTCTGTATCTGTACTGTGCGCCGCCTCCGAGTTTCTGTGTCTGTTCTTGTACGGGCATACATACGCGGCCATGTCAGGCAATCAAGCGGTTCGCCCTTATTGGCACTACCTCCGGCGTAACATTGGGTGCGGGCCTGCCTCAACCCTTCAACTCCTTCAGCCCACCCCCCACGACAAGCAGCAGATGCTCCACGGGTGACATCCTGGCTAGGGCAATGCTGGGGCTTTATTGGATGGACTTGCTCTGGCCACCTGATTGGCCATTAATATTGCTCTACAAGAGAGATGGGAGGAGAAGAGAGAGAGAGAGAGGAGCGTCAGAAAGAAAAGAGTAAGAGGACTGGACTGGGAGGTAGGGGAGGGGAATGGCGCAGATCTCTCAGCTCCACGAGGCCCGCGCAAGTAGCAGTACCATTGGCTGCTCCCGACTCCGTGCGCGCCTACGCGTTCAGCCATGTACCAGAGACAGGCACTGTGATGGCACGGTACGGAGAAGCATCGTCCACCTTGCGGGCATGGGTGCGAGGGCGTCAAATTCCTGTGCGGCTGGCTTCAAATCTCCAGGCTTCAGCTCGTCCCGCTTGCTGGGAGCGAACTTGTACAAACTCAAAGTAGCCAGCATCTGGGCATCCACCGAGGACCCCGGTAACTGGGAATCGCGTCTACGAGTAGTACTTGAACTCGGACCGTACAGGTACGAAGCACGAGGCAGGAAAGGCACTCGAGTCGCACACCGGGGGATGGAGCCAGCCGTGCTGAAGACTCGAGCTTTTTTCCTGAGCGCGATTCGAGGTGATGCGGCAGACAGCGAGCATCAGGCCTTCCTTGCTCGTGCCCGGAAAAGGTGGAGGGTGCATGCACTCACTGCATGTACGTGCATGCGAGCACCGTACTGTGATAGAGAACCGCACGTACTTGTATTGCAAGGTATGGCAAGGCATCGTGAGTCCCGGCTTGATTGCAGGGCTCAGCTTTGCCACACCTGTCGTGTCCGATAGAAACGCCTCTCTGCTGCCCGCCACAGCTTCAGTTTCGCGGCAGGCATTGCTGAGGGCTGGGGTCTGTTTAACTGGGAGGGGACTTGGATGCAATTGGTCGGCTCGCCTTCTGCAAGGACAGGGAGGCTTTGCAGTTCCTTTGCCTTTCATTCGCTCTTGTGACTTCGTGTGTGCGCTGTGTGCGCGCATGTGCGTGTTTTTTTCTTCTTGTGATTTTTCTTTTTTATTCGGATTATCATTTTTATTTTTTCTCATAACCCAATTTTCATCATTTTTTTTTTTCCTTTTTCTGGTTTTGGCCTTTTGCCTTTTGCCCTCTTTTCCACACCTTTCTGAGGTACGGAGTACATGCACCGAGAGTCACCCGCCAACCCGCGTTAGCGTGTTATCTTTTTTTCTCAATTTTTTCCCCTTCAATTTCTCCTCCTTCTTGCACTCCTCACCCTGCCCTCCTCCAACAAACGTCGGCTCCCCCAGTCTGACGAATTGATTCGACTGCCATCAGACGCGCTTCCGAGGCGTCAAACCGTCAGCCACAGGCACGCGCAATTGCAGCAGCAGCCCCCCCTCTCGCCCACCAGAGTCCCGAATCTCGTCTCCAAGCTCAACAACCTTTTCGCACTACGGCGGAAATAACCCGATTGCCACACGCCCCCCCCTAAGCGTCTCTGGGTCAGACGCCGCTCGTCGCTCGGATCGTACTCCGTGCTACTAGCAAGACGCCGTCCTGGTACTGTGCAGTACCTGTACTCGCGCCAGCTGCAGGCATCGTCCACAGCGCTGGGTTTTGGCCGCAGCCTCCAGGTCGGACGCAGTCGCTCTCCAGCTCCAGAATACCTAACCTTGACCCTGGTCTGCTGCAGCTGCAAGTACCTCAGTGAGTCCCACCCTCCTGTACCAAGGCCTTGTACTCGTACCCTCTCCATCAGATCCCGTCATTCATTTTTTTCTCTTCTTCTTTCCCTTTCCCTTCTCGTGCTGGCCCGTATAAAATTCTTTCGTCCCGCACTACCTGGCCTTACGCGAACCTGTCTGCCGTCATAAACTGACCTGAGAGTTTCCCCTCCCCAGCCTGAACCAGAACGAGAAAAGCAACTCGCGCCCCGCCTCGTCTTTTCTCGTGTGCCGAGTAGGTAGAGTTCGCCTTCTAGAACTGCCTACCGTGCTAGTGAGCGCCTCATATCAGCCAAGCAAGCCAGCCAGCTTTCCTCGCGCCCCGTGTCCGTCTATCAGGCTCAACAACCGAGACAAGACGGCCGCGCGAGCCAGCGAAGCCCAGAGAAACCACACGCCCCTTTGGTCCTTGCCCAAGGCCATACGCTAGACTCTCTTGGACCTGGCAATCCCCGGCCTGCTCCAAGGCTATATTAGCTTGGGGGTCCCCAAATCTGTGCGACCGGACGGCCTAGTTCCTCCTCTAGCCCCCCCCTTCGACACTTTGGCCTGATCGCAAAGCGAGACATCCCTGGCCCAAGATCCGCGCTTCCAAGGTCCAAGACTCCTGGGCCTCTTGGAGCTACTAGTGCGCATCACGCTCCCCAAGCTGCTCCATCAACAGACGCAGTTTTTCAACCACCAACTTGCGACTCTGGTCGCTACGGTATACATACACCGGTGCCCCAGTCCGCGCTACTATTGCCGCCGCCGGCGATATTACATATACTAGCCCGCTGCTGCTTGCGCCGCCACCGCGACACCAAAAGCTGTCCCCCCCGGAAGAGGCCAGCCTGCTCATCACTCTACCTCTCACTACTACTATTTCTTCCCTTTCCCCCCTGCACCATCTGGACGCGAGTGCTTGGAAACTAGTCTCGTCTGGACGCCGTCTCTTTTCTACTACACGCCAATCTCGTGTGGAGTTCGGTAGCACGTTCCTGAGAAGCCAACGGGAACCACCAACATCGCGACTTTGGGAAGTCTTGATCCTTCTTTCACACCTCTGCAACTCTCTGTCGTTCGACAGCGAACAGCTATCGACGCACTCGCTCGCAAGTCCGCGCAAAGCAACGGAAGAAGAGAAGCAAGACCTCGAGTCGCCAAGCTCTCTCTCTCTCTCTCTCTCATCTTTGTCGGCATCATCGCCACCATCAACGAGCATCTCGAGTTTTTATGGACCGCGGTGCCGCCCAGTTCTCGCAGTCAGGTTTGCCTTCGCCCTACTCCAGCAGCTTCGGCGACCAGCATTCTGAAGGCTCGTCGGCAGAACACGCGTCTGCTGCTCAGTACCCCGGGAAACAAGACTACCCAGCCTCTGTGACGCCCACGTCAGAGTACAGCGTCTACCCTCCCTCGGCGCGTTCAGGATCCTTTTCGGAGCAAATCCAGCGTTCATACCATCCTTCCAGCACCGCCAGCAGCGGAGGTATGGCGCAACAACAGAACAGTCCGTCTATGCCCCAGCACAATGGGCCTAGCCATCAAGCCCACCCCGTCAATTCTGACAACGATGTGCCTATAGATCCGTCTATTGCGGCTCCGAGTCCAACCTACCCTTACGGGCAGCACTCGCCGTATGCGCCAAACCCAGACATGTCTCATGGCTACTCCCATCCCAGCGGCGGCATGTATGCGCAACCCCGACCCGACTGGGCCGGTTACAGCCAGCATGGAGCTCCTCCCTTGACTCCTGGACATCCAGTTTATGCCCAATCTCCGGCCTCTGCGCCGCAGCAACGCCCCAATCAGGTACGTTTAGGTGACGAGTGGGAATCTCGCAAAAGGAATCGCCGAGGCCAAAATGTCGTCGAAGACAAAGAGGTCGAAAGGAAGACGCAAAAAACAAACAAAAAAAAAAGGGCGCAGCAGTCGGAGAAAGAGTCATGTTCCGGTGTTTTGGTCAAGACAAGAGAGCGGGGCAACTGTCAAACATGACGCGACTCCGCGATTTTACGCGACCTTTTGAAGACGGCGATTTTCCTTTTCGAGATGTCCAAGATTATTTTTCTACTACAGCAGGGAGCGCATCTGCTAACACTGATCCGATAGGTGTACTCTTTTGTTCCTATCCCTGGAGCGCAGCAGCACAAGCGCCCGCGCAGACGCTACGAGGAGATTGAGCGCATGTACAAGTGTGGCTGGAACGGATGCGAGAAGGCCTACGGCACTCTCAACCATCTCAATGCACACGTCACCATGCAGTCTCACGGACAAAAGCGAACTCCCGAAGGTAGGTCTCTATTGTGGCAAACCCGCTTAACCGTTTCCCGCCAAATTCCGCCCAAGCCCTTGCTTCCCCGTCTGTTCTGCGTTGCTGCGATCCCATTCCTGGTTTCCAGGTCATTGGGATCGAGATTCAGGTGTCGAGTCACGTGGCTTGACCTCGATCTGCACGCAAACGTCCGTTTCGATGGCACGAACTTGGTTTGGAATACGCCCTGTGGAGCAAAGTGGCTGACAAGATGTTTTCATCACAGAGTTCAAGGAGATTCGCAAAGAATGGAAGCAGAGGAAGAAGGAAGAAGAGGCCCAGCGCAAGGCGGAAGAGGAGCGGCAGAGGGCCGCAGCGGCAAACGCCGCCCAGAATGGCGGCGGTGATCCCCAGGCTGCCGACGGAGCGCCTACGTCTGGGTACCCCGGTAGAGCCGTGCAGCTGCCGCCCATAGGATACCAGCCCACGCAGTATCCGGCGCCGCCCTCTGGCAACGTCGCTCAGCAGCCTATGCCCGAGTATGGCACGAGCCACATGTACTCGAACTACCAGCCGCATTCTCCCTATGCTCAACCCAGCCAGCAGAACCTCTACAGCCAGTGTACGTCTCGGCCTGAAGTTGCATCATGAACCAAGAGACCTCCTTACTGACTCGACATCAAGCAGCAAACGGCGCACCGCCCCCTAGCCACTAATGGACCGAAGCGACTTCGTGATGTCCCGTGGCAAGCTACCTGCCTATAGATGGGAACATCATTGGACCTTGTTGGTCGCAACTGCCCACTCCTCTTGACGCGTTGGACATAATGGTTTTCCTTTTGTCTTTTCCACACGGCAGGAAAACGGGGTCTCGAGTGGAAAACATTCGGTCTCTGGAGGAAATAATATTTCATTGGGATGTCGCCCGGATTGGAGCGCGCCGTACAGGTGGTTTGGGTACTCTGCTGACCAGCACCCTAAATCAAGGGAGGCACCAGTGTTATTCTGTAACACTTTTTGAGGTGATACTTGACGCCCCCTTGTTTTGTCTTTTCTTTTTCTTTGGTGTGTGTGCTCTCTTACACTTTCCCCTTTCACCCTGTTCGAACTATCTTCTGTGTCTGTTTTCAATATTTTCTTCGGCTCTTTCGCGCTCCCACCTATGGGAGCGCATACGGTCTCACGGTTACTGGGGGGTTGCATTGGCAGAGGCACTCCGGGGATGGTCGGCTCTTTCATGGCGTGATGCAATTTCAGGGGCGGTTCGGCGCAGAGGATACGGAGTACTGAAACCACGGCGGGTGAAGCACCTGGATTTTCCCGGTAGCTGGTCTGAGGAAAAGAAGCTGCTTCTGTATTGCCGCAAGGCGAAGAAAAAAAATGCGATACGACTTGTCAAGTGAAGGGAACGCTCAGAGCGCTGGAAACGGGTAACGGACCTCTTTGAGCCCCTGCGGTAACCCTTTGCGGACTTGTTAGGAGGCAAAAGGCTGAGCAACCCAAAGGGGGACGAAGAGGACTCTTTGGATGAAAGATGAACCGGAAGGAAAACGAGGGAGGAAAAAAAAAACAAAAAAGGAAGAAAAAAAAGGCACCCGTCTGAACACGGGACTGTTTTATTTACGCCCGTCTCTTTCAAGATATCGCGGCGAAGAGCGACGACTTGTGTGTAACGTTTTTGTAACGCATTTCTTTCCATGTTTTTTGTGTGCGTCTTCTTGTTGAAAGGGAGAGAAGTCGTACACGGTAGCAGCAACCACCTAAACAGTCATTACTGGTATAATACGTGCGTTAAGAGCTGAGAAAGAATTCTTTTGTCCATGGCGAGGTCGTGATATGCTGATGCTTGGTGATGATGTTGGGGATGGCTTGACAAAACACCAAGGAAAGGGCGTGTATCGTACACATTTGGGGTTACATGCACGACTACATATGCAAGTGTCTTTAGGTACAGACATCCACGGCGTACAGCGAAGACCCTACGCGCATCTTGACCCAAGATAATGGCATGGCTTTGGTTTTAGTCCTGCATCGTTGAATCGAGACTAAAAACCGGCGTGCCATGCAATCGGGATCGGGGGGGCACGCCAAGGCACTGCTGCTAGTGTTTCTGTGGGAAAGGCTAGATCAGAAGCTAAGGGACCTGGAGTATTTGAATAATTAAAATGTTTGAAAAGAGGGTAGAAGGGAGACGAGAGAGACCGGCTGGGTCCCGTCAAGTTGATGGTGTGACGGAGCATGGGGGGGGGTTTGGTGGTGACGGGTGCGATGGTTACACGACGAGGGGACGCGGCATGACATGGGGGGGAAAAGGGTTTCTTTTTTTTCTTTTTTTCGATCCTCCTGCGTACCTAGGTATGAGTAACGGTTACTAAAAGTACCCAGGTAGTTGTATGTACAGCTAGCAGAAGATCCCCGTTGTGCGTATTGGAGGAGGTGGTGTAGGTATGTGCGTGAGGGTACATGTACTTTTTTACGTCTTTGTGTGACCTTTTTGGCGTGGCGATGTATCCATGCAATGCATGTGTGTGTGTGTGTGTGTGGATTTCGAGGAGATCAGATCTACTAGCAGGTAGTATGCCGTTGTGTATATTTTGGGCAGTTTTGTGTTATTTTTTTAGTTGCAGGACTTTATGTAGGTCTGATTTCTTTTTCTGGTAATTTCTCTTGTTTGGGTGCATGCATGCATGTTATATTATATGATGGAATGAACTGAGTGGCTCGGGTATCATGGCGATTGCTCGACTGGAGGCGTACAGCAAATCTTGGCTTTCTGATACGAAACGTGGGGGTTTCAAAGAAGAAGAGAATGAGGAGGAGGAGGGAAGTCAGGTAAGTAACACCACATGGGGCCAGAACGAAGGGAAAAGCGGGTGATGAAGTCATTTTTGGAGAAGGAGAGAGATTCGGAGAAGAGATTTGGGGGAAATCTTGCAGTTGCAGAAGGGAGGAAGAAGAAGAAGAAGATGATGATGATGATGAAGGTGGCCACGCGAGAGTGAGACATTTGTGTCCGGGTTTTATTTATGATTGCTTTGTGTGAGTGATGCTTGTCTGCCGACTTTTTTTGTGTTACGACGGGAAGATGCATGTCCCGGCCGTTTTGTCTCTGCTTTTTTTTTTTTCTTTTTTTTTTTTCTTATTTTTCTTTTCTTGTATTGGGGAGAGGCTTTGGAGGGGTGGTTCGGAAGGGAGAGAGATGCGCTAGAAGATTCGACAATGGCTTCTATTTCCTTGCAAGGGGGCCTGTGTTATTGTGCGACACCATATTTTCATTTTCAAATTGATGCGGGATTCATTCATAGCGATCGTTTGTTATAGATACTAGGTAGTTTGAGTGTAAGAGGGAAGAAGTGCGTGGGCGCATGCGATGAGGTGACGTTGGGAGCCCCCCCTGGCAAGATCGTCGCGGGAACGGCTTGCGGGAACGGCAACCGCCCGGCGATAGCTTTTTTTTTTTTTTTTCTTTTTTACTTTTTTTTCCCTTTTGCACCTTGCATTAGAGAAACTCCAAGGGAAGAGGGAACTAATGTACGTCAAAGGCAAGTTCGAAATATAAAGCGGAGGGGGGCGTGTGCAGAAACTACCTTTAGTTTGAGCAACTATAACTACCTAAGGTAGAGAGAGGTAAGGTACTGGCACTATCCAAGGACACACGGACGGTCCCTAGTTTTATTTTATTTTTTAACGTTTGGCTCCCGGATGCAGGCATGGGATAGTGTGTATAGTAGAAGGGAATTGAAAAAAAAAGTGTCCGGTGCGTGGTAGTTCGTTTAGTTGATTGTCCGTTGCATAATACGGGTGGTTGTCCGAGTCTAAAATGGGTTGCTTTCTGCTGGGGGGGGCCGAAGGGAAGTGGATGAGACCCGGTCGAAGGGCCCGGCGTTGGTGATGGATGCAACTAGTAGCTAACAGAGAGGGAGCGTTATTTTGTCTTGGTGATGGTGATGTTGATGACATGCCGTTGCAAGGTTGAGATTGGATGGGCACACGTGTATGGGGTTATAGGGGGAATGAGGTGCGAGAGACGATACCATCTTGCATCATGGGAGTTGATAGTATTAGGTGGAAATGCATTACCTAGAGACGGATCCTCTATGCCTTTGGAAGAGCACACGCTGATATTATCATCCTCATCGTATGCTTGCAGTCATTGTCACACAGTCGTCCCCAAGTACTACTACCCTGGCCAGCACCCAAAACAAAGCGTCCGTCAAGACAAGGCCGGGCCCGGGTGCTTTCAAGCACGGGTTTTGGACGGCTTTGTTGGCCCGCTTCCTCAACGGTTGGACCGCGCACCCGGTCTCTGCTTTAATTTAGTGGGCGTATGGAGTTTTCGGGATACTACGACCTGATGCTAGATGAGATACTACTGCTAGTGATGCTACCGCCCTTTCCAAATAGACTAATGTAAGATGATGATGCTAAAGAAGACGGAAGAGCAGGGGTGGGAGGGAGAACCGGTCAGAATGCGTGCGACTTTGATCGAAGATGACTGCATGTCGATGGATTCTGCTTGTAAGCTGCGTCACTGTCAAAGAGGGTGAGGGTGCTCTAGAGCTTTCGATAGGTACTGCTTGCATGATGATGGCTGCCGTCAATGCCCACAAAGACGGTGTCATATTGCTTGCAAAGCGGTAATGTACGATTATGTAGGTACAGCTACAATTCGACATAGAATATGCCTCCAACATCGTATCTACTACACCAGTGGCAACGGATACTACCCACAATCTCATCGTGGACGCAACACACACACACACACACCCACACACCCTCTATCTTGTCCCTCCCCATCCCTCCTCCATCACGATGGCCTCACCACAAGCAGGGTAGCAGTAGTAGAGTCTTGCTGCACGAAGCGAGAATAGAAACGAACAACCACGAAAGCAGCAATCTCCACCCTGCAGCTTGCGGGAACCGAGCACACCGACCAAACATCAACGTGACAGCGGCTTCGGCAAAGCACGGTCCCGGACAAGTGGAAACACGACCTTCCCCCTTGTCGCGCGGAACGGCAACTAGAAGGTAGCCGATGATGGACTTACTTGTATGTATGTATGTATTCTCCGGTTTCCCATCGTTCGTCGGACCGTTCGAACCTTTTGCTCTGGTGTTCTGTGTCGTTTCCTGTGCAGACCCCCCCTTGTCTAGCGCCTTGCACTGTGTTGCTTCTGAGGGACAAGGGGAAGCGAGGATTCGAGAGTGGTGGATGCGTTGGGTGTTGGTATGTAGTAGTAGTGCGATTCCGGGCATCTCGAGGACTGAGGTGATGCAATCCTCGTCTTGGTTTGAGGTTGTCGGTGCTGCGTTGTGGTGGCTGAGCAAGGGGGGGGCGGGCGGGATGATACGGAGGACGACGTGTTTCTCAGGGCTGTTCTGTTCTGCGTTTGGTACGAGAACAGGAGTGCTTATGACTGACACAAGATTGACCTCTTCATCAGTTACTTGTCCAAGATCTAAAGCGAGAGCTTCTCTTGAGCGTAGCGAAACGCAGCCGAGACAGCCGCATCAAGGCTTCGCAGTTGGGAGTAAAGGGGTTGCATAACAGGCACTCGTGCCGAAGCCCAGCCAGCCAACACCCCCATGTGACGTGACTTGATGATACTGTACCTGTAGCCGAGAGTGCCCTCGAATGAGTCTTGAAGGGGCTGGATCGGTTGGCCTGTTGTGTGCTGACGTACTCGTGATAATTACTGGCCGGTGATGACATGACTTTTGCTGTTGGTGCCGATATCAGGGACTCATGAGGGTAGCTTGCTAAGCGAACATGCTCTGGTGGGAAAAAAGCAGAGGGAGTTGTCGTTTTTGACTCACGGCGATACCTTCAAATGCTTGTTCCATCTGCAGATCAGCCAGATGCTGTACTCTTCATAGCAAGCCAAAGAAGTTGGCGGTCAAGACACCGACGCCGCTCACTCAACCAACACGCAAGCCATCCATCGTATCAAGCCGGAATATCGACTTCTGTCGGTTTCACCTCCAATCCAACAGATACCCAACCCAGAGTCCATCCCCGGCAACATCCACCCTCTGTTTCTAGAAGCTCTGTAGCACGTTGCTCTGGATCAGATAAACTGCCTATGTACCTGCTTAGCCAGAGGCTAAAGCACGTTGAGTTCAGTGCCTTTAATTTAGTCGAATCTACTACATCAATAGTAGGTACGTACGGACACCCCCCCTCGAAGCACTAAACGCTGTCTCGTCTGTAGGTAGATAGTCTTAAGAGATACCGCCGCCGCCGCCTCGGTGCTAAACAAGGCGTACATAGTGCAGAGCCGTCCGTCTAGTGCTCCGACAAGCTTTTCAACTCTTTTTCATCTTCTTTTTCTGATCTGTCAAACGGGCCTATTTGTGAAGCTGTTCTCGAGGGGCGTGGGACGAGCTTGTCAGGGCGGCAACTAAAAGGAACTGGTGTTTGTTGTTGTTGACTGCACACCCTCTTGAAGTTGTTCCTTCTAGTAGTGCCTCGTTTACGTGCCTTTAGGTCAATATCTTTGCTGTCACCGCAGATTAGCAGCGTCTGCAGCCTTGGAAGGCCCTCGCGTATCTCAACGCCCACGATGGATGGATTTCTCCTTCAGGCTCTGATACCAAGACATGCAAACTCAGCGTCTTAACAAGTCAATATACTTTTTATTTCTCCATTAGAATGCAGCAGGCGATGAGGCAGCATCAATTACTTGTACTATCTCGGTTCCAGGCTGTTCCTCCCGCTGCCGCTGATTGGGCCCTCGGCGGATATACAGCGGATCCTCAGGGCCGCCACCAAACAACGTTCACGCCTGCGTTTGCAACCTCAGCCTCGCGCCTTCAACCATCGTTGCCTTGCCTCAACAAAGCAAAACTTCCCCAAGCATCGTCTCTCCCCAGCAGCCGCATTGACTACTCAAGCCTTGCATTGTCGCCTTAAACCATTCCCTCATCAAGCTACCGCCATGAAGATGTGCATCGTCTAGCCCGTATCAACCAAGCTTCGCACTATATAAACACAGCAGCATCCCACCATTTGTTGCATCTTTCTGCTTGTTTCTTTTCGCCTCCCACCTTCATCATCAAATTCACCATCTTCAGCGTCATCGACAGGCAGCAGACTTTGAACCCAAAACCGCAACCATGTCTGACGCAACCCCAGCCCAACATCTCTCGGCCTCGGATAGAGGCCTCCCCAAGAGAACCAGCTCTGCGCGCTCAACAAAGTCGCACGAGTCCGTGGCCGTGCTGGGAGCCCACCCCTACGGCTCCCTCCAGCTCGTCCAGCCTGGCGAGCTGCCGCCGCCTGACGAGGGCTCCGACGAAGGAGAGGAGGAGGCTGGCAGCCCGCCGCCGCTGGAACCCATCACGAGCCTCGATGGGCAGAGGCGTGTCCAGTTCAGCGATGATCCTCCAGAGATCAGATACCGAGAACCCAGTCTGTCTGGATCGTGCGAGACGCTGGACACCATCACCCATTCGCTGGCGGGCGGACAGGGAGGAGACGTGCTGCTCGTCCTGGACCTGCCCGAGTACTATCTCGTGGGCTGCGACACCATGTCGTTTACCGCCAGACAGTTCCGAGGCGTCAGGGACATCCCGCCTGGCCCTCACTTCTTGTGGGTCACCCACCCCGAGAGCGGCGCTGTCCGAACCGGCTTCTTCATCATGGCCTATGGCGCGCAGCAAGTCCATGTTCTCCAGTGGGACAAGTTCCACGAGACCATTTCCGAGCCCTCGCGGGCTGAGGCCCGGTTCCAGGCGGAAGGCCTCGACACTTTCCACCATCTGCTCGTCCCGTACAACGACCCGACGTTGATCAACTCGGAGCTGGACAAGCGCGACGGCTTCACCCAGACGACTCTTAACAGGAAATCCAAGATGTGGAAGCGACTGGCCGGGAGCATCACCCAACGCGTGCTTGTCCGCGTCATCGGGCAGCACATCACCAGCTGGCACGTCGACACCACGGACCGCGTCCAGGGAGCCTTGCATGTGGCCGCAGAGATGGAGCTCGACAGGAGACTGCCGAAGCATTACCTGCAGTCAAAGGAGCTCAGGTTCAGCTTTCCGCAGAACGCCAAGACGTACACGGCTGATGTTGTCGGTGCTGATCGAACCCTGGCGGCCACGGATGCGACGTCCTACATGATGTCCGTCATGAACGACGGGAACAAGGCGTTGTCCGACGACGACGTTGTTGCAGAGCTTCAGTTGGCCTTTATCATTGGAGTACACCTGGGAAACCATGCCTGCATCCAGCAGTGGTGGCACATGGTGCTCAAGCTCGTCCTCAAGGCATTCCTGCTGCCGGAGCTCCGCCCGGTCCTTGCCGCTAAACTGCTGTATTGTCTTGCTGCACAGCTCGAATACAGCGCCCGCTGGCTCGACGAGACCATCCTGGACCCCAACGAGCCCAACAGCAACGAGCTGCGGCTCGCCCTCATCATCTACAAGCGCAGGCTCGACGAGGTCCTCGAGGGCCTTGGCGACCAAGCCACAAAGGAACAGCTCACCGTCGGCACTGCCTTCGCCAAGATCGAGTCGGAAGTCGTCAGCCTCGGATGGGAGCTGGACGGCGACTACCTCCGCAAGGGCAAGGTGATGATGGAGGACGGCGAGGAGGTGGACGTGGAAATGGCCGAGCTGCAGGCCGAGGACGAGCGCGGCGAGTGGGCGCCCGAAGTCGTCGAGCTCGACGAGCACGGTCGTCAGCGGGACTTGGTGTCGTGGCACGACTAGAAGACTGTGGACACGCAGAGGCGCAATTCGACGACGGCAACGACGATGCAGTCGGATCGGAGCGACGAGAGAGAGCATCGCGGTCGGTACGACGTGGCCCAGGACTGGGTCAGCGCGGGCATTTCCAAGATGGTGCCGCCCAGGCGGATGAGCGTTGTGAAGCAGGCGAGACGACGCATGCTTTTGTCAGATACCCCTTGATTTTTCTTTTTTTTTTTCCTCTTCCTCGTTCTTCTTTTCTTTTAGGCTGGTATGAGGTTGGTTATCCAGGCTTGATGTTTTGAAGCCTTACGGATGGTACATTGGTTTCGGTTGGGTAGATGGTTAAGGAAAAGGAAAAGTTCATGACTGTTGTTTTACAGGAGTATAGGCAAGGAAAAAGGTTGGCTTTGTTTGTATTACAGATGTATTAGTTTTGTATGATGTCTATCCCAGTGGCTTTGCCTGGAAGTTGATGCTCTTGTGAAGTGATTTGGTTGTCCGTTGAATGTTGAGTTCATTGAGTAGGATAGCTGGATAGGATTCGGGACCGGCTACTTGAGTTCTCTGGAGTGTGATTCGTCTGTCTCAGAAGCGAATTTACGTCTTTTGCAACTCGAGAGGCTCTTCATATGGTTTGAGTTGATATGTATCTGCTCATCTAGAGTCGTAGACTCCGCTAGGAAATGTCGTGAGCTGTTCAGTTCGAGATCGATGCTGCTTTCTGCTCTCGATGATCCCAACATTCGATACATTCATTCTCCAGCAAAGGGCTCAGTTGATGGATTTTTGGTGTCACAGCATGAGAGTATCATTGGTTTTGCTGGATGGTGCCAGGTCATCTGATGGTCGAACTCATTTGTTGATTTCTAGGAGATGGGTTTCGCAAACTGATTGATGAGAGACTTTTTTTGGGTTGTATTACTTGCCATCTATCGATCTGAGGAAGGCAATGTGCCGTCGGATGCGAATCGAGGTTGGAGTGATTTCTTTTGTTGCCTGGAGTGATGGAAGGTTCATGAAGCTAGCTATTCCGTTCTGATATATGGATGGCGTTATTGAGAGCAGCTAAATGGACTGCTACAATGAGAGCACCTGACTTCAATGGGGGCATTATATGGTTCAGCATAAACGGAGACGGATGACACAGCACCTGAGATCTGATATGGAGGGGAGGCAGGCGATTGTAGGCACTTTGGGCCCGCTTCGTGGAAGAAGCAGTGTTTGTTTCACTTAGGAGGTGATTCCCAACGACGACTCCCTGTGTCGTGTACCTAGCTGGGTATCTCGCCGCAAGTCGGTTCGAGATAGAGAGAAGGGGCTCGCTGATGCATACTACTTGTTGACGTTGACGTTGACAGTGACATGGCATGGCATGGGATATTTGGCTCATGGGACCCGATCGTTTCCGAGGACAGCAAATCTTGCCTGTCCAGCACGACGAGGAACTGTATACCCAACATCAAAAGGCTTAGTGCCTCGAGTCTCCAAACAACTTCGTCAACTCTCTCGCAGATAGTTGTGATACGCGCAGCCATGGGCTGTACAGAGCAACATTCACAGACATGCACCATCTCTGCCACGCTTCGTAACGTTGTGAAGATTTCATTAGCCTGCCAGACCCGTTACAATCCGCCCCAAAGCAAGGCCATGCGAAATGCCAATGGGAAACCTATCCCCCCATGCCAGGGAAACATGCGACTCCGGCCCTTTTTTCTTTTCTCGTTTGTGTGAAAATCCACATCCTCAGCGCTGCCAAGCAGTGGAACAACAGCTGCAGGAATGCTTCTCTCGACCGTTTCTTCATCCTCCCTGTCTCCTCCGTCATCACGACCACCTCAGTCTTCTTCTTCTTCTTCATCTCCTCCTCCCCAGCAGCGCCAAAAACGCCCCGACCAGCAGCAGCCCCAAAGAAAGCCCATTCTTCTTTCGGTCTTGCGCGTCCCCGTTTATCGGTAAGACTTCTGGTACCTGGCGCGGGCGCCGGGACCACCGAACTTCTTGGGCTCGCAGCGGCGGTTGTCAGCGACCAGCAGGGTGCGGTCGAACTGGACAAGGGCCTGCTTGAGCAGGTTCTTGGAGTGCTCGTCGACGTACTTCTGGTAGTAGGCGATGAGGGACTTGGCGATGGCCTGGCGGATGGCGTAGATCTGGGAGGTGTGACCACCACCGGTGACACGGACGCGGATGTCGACGTTGGCGAACTTGTCGAGGCCGACAACCAGGAGGGGCTCGTAAACCTAGAGAGATGAGTCTTAGTATATGTCGCTTTGCTTTGTTGCAGTTCCTTTCGATCGCCTCGAGTGACATGTGCCGTCTCCAAGTTCATCCGCAAAGAAGTTCCCGCAAATCGTTTTTGACATCCATGTTTGACAAGAATATGCTTCTTGGGATGAACTGGAGGCGGCCGTAGAAGCTTTCGAGTCGTATCGGAGGGGAGTAGCAGGTGGCGTACCTTGAAGCGGAGGATCTCAGGCTGGACCAGAGACAGAGGTCGGCCGTTGACCTTGATGAGACCACGGCCAGCCTATACGAGAACCAAACGTCAGCATTTCTGCATATCAAAAGTCTCCCAAGTTTCATGACTTGATCCCCGAAATTGACGATAATCTCCTCATCAATGTCGAAATCGTGTCCCCCGCAATATGCGCATTTCGTGTAGATCTTCAATTTTTTTCTTTCCCATGTTGTTCCTCCATGTCCTCCAAATCCGTCCTCGATTCTCTCGTTCCACTAACCTTGCAGTGGGCGACGGCAGTGGCCGTCTTCTTCTTGCCGAAGCATTGCACGCTCTGAGTTGACGACATGGTTGCTGGTGCGGTGTCTGAGATGATGCTGCTGCAGTCTTCGCTTCGCTTCGTTCGTCGTGATGGGTGCTTGGTCCCCTTTTCGCCTAGGACGGATTTTTTTGCGTTCCGGCACCAGCGAGAGGCCTGCGGCGGGAACAAGGCGAGGGTTTGTGCCCTTAATGTGCGCTATCCCTCTTTGGGCCGCACGAGCGAAGGCGGATGCTTGCAACTTTTTTTTTCGCAGTGGTAACGTTCTGGCGGGTTATAGTGGGGTAGAGCCGCTGTAATTTTTGGTGCGGTCCACCATCAACAGCCCAAAGACAAGGGGAAAGAAAAGAAAGAACGGCACACACACACGCACACGTGACGCATGCCCTAAACCCTTCGCCTTACTGTTCCGGTTGTGGCATCCGCCAAAATTTCGCATCGAGTGAAGCATCACGCCGGACAAATCAACCACAGCCCGACTAACCGCCGTCAAGGTACGTTTATGCCGATTGAATCGACATCTCGAGATCCTCTCCGTCACCGATCACCGATTCTAACACTCAACTCTCTTCAAGATGGTCGCCGCCAAGAAACACGTCCCCATCGTCAAGAAGCGTACGTCCTTTATCCATTTCGAGCAGATCGAGAGGAAGATATACCCGAGATACGGTCGCCTTTGCGTTTTGCCCTGCGCTCTCCTTCCGGCTGCCTCTGAGAGCCTTCACGACGATTGAGAAACTTCGACGAAGACGGTTCTGGAATGCAGTTTGGATCGAATTGAGCTTGAGCAAAACAATGAGGGACCGAATCGAATCTTTCTTCTTTTATCAATATCCGAAACGAGGCCGTTGGACGCAGAGTTAACAAGGACTTGCAGACAAGACGCGCTTCGCCCGTCACCAGAGTGACCGGTTCGACCGTGTCGGTGAGAGCTGGAGGAAGCCTAAGGGTATCGATGGCCGTGTCCGCAGACGCTTCAGGGGCACCATCCGCATGCCCAAGGTACGTCATCTCGAGCAGGAGAGAGAGACATCTTGAGGGACAAGAGTGCTGATGGATGAAATATAGATTGGCTACGGATCCAACAAGAAGACTCGCTTCTTGACCCCCTCCGGCCACAAGGCTTTCCTCGTCCACAACGTCAAGGACCTCGAGCTGCTGCTGATGCACAACCGAACCCACGCTGCCGAGTACGTCCTCTGCCAAGTGTCTAGCGAATACCATCTCCTAACCCTTTCACAGGATTGCCAGCGCCGTCTCATCCCGAAAGCGAATCGACATCATCTCCCGCGCCAAGCAGATTGGCGTCAAGGTCACAAACGCCAAGGCCAAGGTCACGACGGAGGTCTAAGCGGCGGACCTGGGGGGCTCGAGAGAGAGAGGGGGAAATCTGTCGACATCATCGGGTGTGTGGATGGGACGATAGAGAAGCAAAAAATAAAGCATTCACGGCACACACACACACACAACTACGGAGAATCCAAAAAAAAAGTTTAAACAAGTCTTCGCCGAGATCTCCTTTTGCCCGTCCTTTGTGGTTGGCGAATTCCCGTGTTGTGGCTGTTTCTTCTCACTTTTCTCCGGGTTTTACGGGTGTGGTGGTGTTGTTTTTTTTTTTTTGCTACAATGGAACAAAAGGGAAGGGGGTGGCGCTGCAGTCTTCATTTGCTGCGGACTTGATATTCTCATTTGGAGGAAAGGTGCTACGGTTTGCATTTATGGCCATGCGCGCATGCGTGTTGCATTGCGGGACGAGACGGCCTCTGGCGTGTATTGTCGAACTACAGGGAAATATGACGCACCGTTGACGACAAGGATGGTGATGCCTGTGTGAGGCGTGGTCAATGCTGCGCTGTTGGTGATCTTGATCACTCCTGAAGAATCGGCCCAGATAACTCGGGGATGCGGTTGAAGTTCGACAGGAACTCAACTATATGTAGATGCCTGGCTAACCTGTATAGCAAGATACGGCCATATCAGGAACCAAATGCTGATATGCTATATGACCACATGGTAATCAGGAATGCGTCGTAAGTTAATGCTCACATCGAAGACATGTCTTCCAAGCCTCCTAGTGGGGAGAGCTTCTTGAACAATTTCAGAGGGTCACCTTGATGATCAAGAACTCATACTCAACCACGGGCAGCGATGTTTTGTTTGCTGAGTCTTCAAACTCGATGTCTACTCTCGTCCCTTTCAAGACTGAATTAAGTCGCCATCAGTCCCCTTTTCCCAACCTTTGCTGCAGTAATGCTGTTAAATCACTCCCTTCTTGGATGAGGACGACATAATAGTCTGGATTGCCTATTTCGTGGCAGGCGAGGTTGAGGAGGGGAGATGGTGAGAGGCTCACGAGATATGATTCCTTAACGAGAAGATATCATGAGGAGATGTATCGACGGAGAGGGAGTTGGAGGGTTTGTTCAGAGGTCTGTTCTGATGGGGTCGACGAGTACCTAGATGAAGACGATGTCCCAACTCCGCTTTCTCTGACCCCTTACTCCAACATGATGATCAATAATCTACCTACTTACAAAAAAAAAAGAGAGAGAAAAGAAAAGAAAAAATGAAGAATAAAGATGCAAAGTAGAAGAAGTACCTTACCCAGTCATCTTAGGTAGCTAAGAAGGACATTGTAATTGACGTCCTCAAAGTCATTCACAAGTCAACATGTAAAATGTCCAGCAGAAGCCTGAGAGCCAAGAAGAAGATCACACAGCCTTCACAGCAAACATCACACCCAAAGAGGGGAAGAAAAAAAAAGAAACACACACGGTATCACAAGAAATCAAACCGAACACATTCCAGCAGTTAAAACTTAGCATCACACACAAAAAAAAAAAAAAAAAAAAAAAAAGAAGAGGAAAAGACTCAATCGCATTCCCTCCGCAACACACCTCAACTACCTACCTATCTATCTACCTACCTAGCCAAAAAAAAAAAAAAAAAAAAAAAAAAAAATCGGCGCTTTCAGTTCGTCCCTTGAAATTGAAAAAACTCAAATTGAAAGCTGTAACTGTGGTATAATATCTCATCAAGAACCATGACAAACTGGAAAGCAGGAAAAAAATGAAAATGAAACAGAATAGAAAATCGAAGAAGAAAATAGTGAAGAGAGAAACAGAAAGAACAGAAAATAGTTCAGAGTAGAAAAGGGGGCCCCCCAGCTTTCAAGCCAGCCTCTACATCAAAAAGGTCAAAGTAGAACAAAAAAAAAATGAGAAAAAAGACAAGTTTGTGATGCATTCGTCGCATTCAGACTCGTCATGTAAGCTTTAAAGAAAAGAAAAGAAAAGAAAGAAAACAAATCGGTTTATCCTCTTCTCTTTTTTTGGTGTCCACTGGATTTCCCGCAAAACGCCCATGACGGCTTAATCTGGTCCGACAACGGATAGAAAAGAGAACTTAGGAAGAAACAAACAAATCCTTCGTACAAAAGATAGAAATCAACACCCCGCTGACTGCGCCGAGGAGAAATACGCGTGAACCCAGCCCAGCTGTATTTTTCCCCCTTCACCAGCGATCAACGTGTGAATGCGTAAAGAAGAAATCTCCGGTGCCTCAGAGAAGGCTGCCGCAACAAACATTATGTACAAGTCATAGAGAAAAAGGCTAGATCTCATCCACCGCCGCTCAGCGGGAGCCCCGAGTTCGCTGTTTCCTGGCCAGCCAATCTCCAAGCATGTTGTCAAGTTGCTAAGACACTTGTTAGTCCGGGAAATTTCACTCTCTGGTTCCTTGTTGAACACATACCGTCGTAATCTCTGCCAACTTGGCATTCTGCTCCCGAAACAAGCCCCCCACGACCGGGTGGTCGCTGCTCGCGGGCACCACGTCCGTCTTGTCGTACACGACGACCAAGAGATCGCGGACGTGGTCGGGCTCGTTGAAGAAGGCATGCAGCTTCATGTCGTCCCAGGTCTGCTCCTTGCTGCCTGTGGAAGAGGAGCTGCTCTTGGACCTGTCCTCGGCCGACTGGGTAAGCTCGGGGGAGGGCGATGCGGAGGGCGACCGGTCATCTGGAGACGAAGTGTCCACCATGAGAGCAGGAGGCTCCGACGAGGTGACCGGCGACACGGGAGATACCGAGTGCGAGCGAGCGCCGGATTGGGCCGGTGTTGGCTGTGAAACGGGAGACTGATCAGCAGCAGCGGATGGGTTGCCGTCGGGGAAAGAGCCCGGGATGATGGGCTCCTCCACCTCCTCGTCCTGCGGAGCCTTGGTGGTCCTGATGGGCGTGGATGAGTTGGGCTGGGGCATCCTGTCCAAGATGGCGTCGCCATCGTCTGACTCTTCCGAGTCGGACAGGTCCAGGTGGTTGAGCGCGCGGGGTGCGGTGGCCGACCGCGGGCTGATGGCCACCTCTGGTCCACGGCGGGTGGTGGGAGACGTCGTTTCCAGAGAGGGACGACCACGGGGCGGCTGGTGTGACGGCACCTCTTGCGTCTCGTTGGTCTCTGGGTTGACGATGCGCATTGAAGGCGGGGGCACATTGGAGACGTCGTTGATACGGCTCTCAGCCAGGTAAGAAGCAAGCTCCACGGTTGAAGCCTGGGGCGCCTTGTTGTTAACGGTGGGCTCGACGCGGGCTTGCTGCTTGTGCAGCTTGGCGGGCTGCCTGGGCTTTTCGGGAGACGACTGGTCCTCCGAGTGGCGCTCCTCGCTGTCGCGGGACTCGCCCTCGGGCCTGTCGTCGGGCGACTGCTTCTTGTCCTTTCTGGAGAAGAAGCCTCGCAAACCGCCGGGCTTCTTGTCCTTGTCCCTCCTGTCCTTGTCTTTGCTCTTCTTCCTGTCCTTGTCCGACATGAGCTCCTTTTCGAACCTGTCCAGGCTGGTCCGGGGCTTGCCAGACGACATGGAGTCGGTGGACTCCCGGGGGCCGTCATCCCGCAGCAGGTTCGGCGTGAGGGTAATCTTCTTGGTCTCCGTCGTTTCGTCCTTGAAGAAAGAATCGGTGTTCCTGATGTTACCGTTGCGAGATATGCTGGGCCCGTCTCGCTTCTCCACAATCTCGAGGCTGCCGCCTCGCAGGTCCTCGTCGTCTGACGAATCGTCCTGGGTCTGCTCCAAGGGCTTGGCAGTTTTGGGCTTGTTGGGCTTGAGCGGCTCCACGCGAGCACTCTCATCTGTCGCATCCTCGTCGTCTCCTGAGGGCGCCTGCTTCTTCTGCTTGACAGGCTCCGACGCCTCGTCGGCATCTTCCTCTTCCGAGGAGTAGTCGTGGTCAGAGTAGTCGAAGTAGGTGGGCTCTGTAAAGACGACCGTCGCCTTTTTCTTGATGCCAATGGAGAAGCCGCTCTTTTGCTTGGGCGGCTGTTGATCGGTCAACATGGAGGCGGAGAGCTAGAGAATAGATCAGTGACTTGTCCTGAAAGGGGCCTTGTCTCGCTCAGCATACATCAATGTTCCTGTGCTTGTTCAGACGAGCCAGCCTCTCGGTAGGCGTCTCAATGTGTTCGGCCGGCAGGTAGCCTGTGCAGTGTTAGCCGGCGCGCATGTTTCTCCATGGCCAGTCGACATACCAATGCTGCTATCCTTGACCACTCTGACCAGCCACCAGTAGCTGTTGCTATCATCCAGCAGAACCATGGTGTCACCCTTAGTCGCATTGGCTTGGCCCTCGACGGTAGCTACAAAGGTGTGGAGGGCGTAGACGAATTCGAAATCAATGTCCTCTGGTTCATGTAAGCACTCTGCTGCCCAGCCATAGTCAATGAAGCGTGGGTCGTCGGGGAGGGAGAAGTCGGAATCATCATCATCTTCAAAGGATTTGTTGTAGGGTATCGTGAGCGATAGATCAGCGTCGGCGTCGGGATCGGCTTCGGTGTCGGCTTCGTTCTGGTGCGCGCAAAGGTCTTGGCCGTTGTCGCAGTCGCAGCCGCGATCACAGTCGCGTTCCGCCTCATACGTCTCGTGCTCAACAGTGTCCACACAGTAGCCCGCTGGGTCCTGTATGAACGCGTTGTCATCCTCGTCTACCGCGGGATCCTAGCCGTTGGTCTCCAAGCTCTGCGTCTCGCTGTCGTCGGCCGCCGCCTCGCCGGTTCGATCGTCGTCAACGCGCCGTTGCGTGTCGTCTTGGCCATGATCGGTGTCGCGGTTTTCTTCGTCGTCGTCGTCGCCGTCGTCAATGTCGCTACAACCGGCATACTCACCCGCAAGAAGATGATGATGATGATGGGCATCGCGAATCTGGTGCAAAAAGTCTGTGTCTGGCGTGCTGGGAGCTGGAGTGGGAGACGGGGAGTGAGGGCTGGCGTGCAGGTGCAGTGACGTCCAGGGGGTCCGCGGGATGGAGGACAGGGAAGACACTCGCCGCGGCCAGGCCGCGGGAGTGGCTCCGGAGCTGCACGCACCGTCTTCGATGGAAGGCGAACTCGAGATGCGATCCATCATGTCGTCATCCAGGTCGCCATCGTCCTCGATGTCGTCGTCGTCGGCCGCGTTGCCATTCTGGGCAACGGCCAGCGAGTCCTGCTGGTGCTGGTGCTGCTGGTACACGTCCATGCCGTCGGCGATTCTTTCAGCGTTCGGTCGGCCGTTGTTGTCTGTGACTGTGGCAGCCCGGGGACTGCGCGCGTGCTCTCGGGAGGTCTCGTGGGCGACGTCGCGAAGCGTCTCTGCCTGGTGCGGAGCGAGCAGCACGGGCGGGCTGGAGAAGGGGTTTCGGGTCGGTCTGAGGGCTCGGTCCTGGGTCGAGGGGGCGTGGTGATGCTGCAGATCGATTGTGTCTGTATCGTGCCAAAGGGGGGAGGAGGATGGCGCTCGTCAGTCTCGGTGGGAGAGGTCTGAAGCAATCAATGCTCACGTGTCGCGCGTTGCGGACTCGAGGTAATACGTAGGAAGGGGAGAATGGGAATTGGAAATTGGCTCTTCGGAGCGAGTTGAAGAGAGTGAACGAGAGTCGAGAGAGCGACAGAGAGAGAGAAGGGAAAATGATTGTAGAAAATAGAGAGACCGAGTAAAGTCAAGGCAGAGAGAAGAGAGAAAAAGAAGGGGCGCAAGGGGCAGCCAAAGGATGGAAGAGAAGGGAAGAAGAGGAAGCTGCTGGTGAGCAGGTAAGGGAAATCGCAGAAGCAAGAGAGAAGCAGCAGAAGAAGAAGAAGAAGACGACGCAGAGGCAACGAACGCTCTGGATCTGCAACCCCGACAAGGCACAGAGTGAGAGGGAAACGAGTGTGAGAAGAATGAAGCCACCCCTGGTCAATCCGTTTCGCTGTTCGTGCGTCTCTGCCTCTTTTTTTCTTTCCTTTTTCTCCCAACAGTCGCAGTGCAGTGCAGGCCAAAAGGGAAGCCGGAGCTAAAACATCACTTGTGAAGCGTCCAACTCGAAACGGGGGTGGCGCGAATCCTGTCCCTTTTTTTTTTCTTTTCTTATTTATTTCGGGAGCAAATCTGGCTGGCTCGACAGGGGTGGGAAGCGAGGTCAATGCAGTGGGAGATGATGGAGAAGAGAGGGCTGCATGGGCTGAATATCAAGAGAACGAATCATAACAAATGGCTTTATGTACGCACCCGCTCGGACAATCAAGTGCCGTGTCATGCCTCTCTTGTTCCTGTCCGTCTCCAACTGTCGTCTTGCGCAGATCGCGTCTTCGTCTCGCCTCGTCCCGCCTTCGTCACGCACAGCTCCCAAACACCGCGCTCACAGATCTGGACAGTGCTGCCTCGTTTGTCTTGTTACTCTCTCGCTCACCCGCTGATGGAGTTGCGACTAGTAAGGCACTGCGTTGGGTCCCCACGTCATCAAAAACCAGCAAAGCGGCTTCGAATCACTTGCATCCAGAGTCGCACAAGTGGGACGTTGTTCGTCATCAAGCCGAGTGTAAAAAAAAAAAGGCACCTGTTGCTGACAAGACGCGGACAAGGCGCAAGTAAGAAAAAAGAAAACAAGGCAGAGAAGCAGAGAAGAAGAGAAATAGACAGAGAAAGAAAATTGACACCCGAATGAGTGAAGGGCCAAAGGGAGGCCACAGGGAGGGAGAGAGAGTGAGGTCACCAACAAAGGCATCACAGTGTTGAGGCTGGACTGGGTTGATCACCGAGGCAGTGACGCATAAGAATAGGGCCAGTCCTGCAGTCAGCCAAGGGCTGGATCTGTCTGTTCCAATCAGGGTCCATCTATCTATAAGGCACCGACAACTGCATCACGATCTGGGGTATCCGTATTACCGTCCAGTCTACCTGATGGCATCTTGATTGGCTTGAAGGCTGTCGATTTATTACACAACATCGACTTCCAGCCATCCCGTTCAGCAACAACACAAACATTCCTCCTTCCATCACTCATTCCATGAAGTGTACCGGTATTCCCAACGATTTCTTCATTCTTCTTTTCTGTACCTTTATTGCAATCATCGTGTATAGGTATCTGAGCTACCTTGGTAGCCTCATGCACATGCACATGCAAACCCGCAATAGCGCGCCAATCCAGCCATCTCCACCCTGCAAGTTGACGAAATACAGTACTAGATGCGTGTGTGCCTGAATTGACAGGGGGGTCTTCTACTAGTATCTCCGTCAGCCTCGTTTCGCCTCACTCACTCACTCACTCATTCTTCCAGTCTTCTCTCATCGATATTCAGTATGACTTGATCAACATTCATTCTCCATCCCCATATATACGGGTACTATCAGGTACCTACCAATACCTAGGTACTACTTAGTAGGTACTATCTTGAGGTTCAGAGCAACAAAGCCCTCTAGTATTACAACCCAACAGCCATCGCCAGGGCACCAAAAGCTGAAACTCCCCACACTCCACACCCAATCTCTCTTGTACTTTATTTGTCCATTTTTTTTCCCCTTAGATTCGAAACACGGCAACACGCTTGCGTCGAATCAGCCTGCACCTGCATGCCCGCGCTTTACCCAAATGAGCACCCAAGCATCACGACTCATTCTTCCTCCAGACTTTCAGTGAGGATTCCGTATCACGAGAAATAGACATTGCCATTGTAAATCTACCGATTCGCCGGCAGGACTGCGCGGCGCATTTCGTCATGTAACCATCCTTTTTTTTTTTGTCTTTGGTTCGGTTTTTCCTCGTGCATGAACCCGACCCTACCGATATATCCATAAATCTATGTCTTAAGCTATACTCGAGCTCAAGGTCGTGCCTCAACCCTCGATTGTTTTTGTTCCCTGTTTTTTTTTCCCATCATGCCCTGGAGACAACGCGTCTCTCTCAATGACTAAAGCATCGTATCAAATGCACAATAACACGCTGAATTTCAGAAAAGCTTCAAAAGGACAATGCAAACAAGACCCATTTAATCCACCTCCTTTACTGGCTGATGGACATGCGTCTGACCTGCTCAGCGCCGTTAGGCTGGCCGGAAATGTCTGCCAGCTTCTTGGACATGCTAATCATACCATGTTAGTAATGGCCTCGTGCGGTAGGGTAATGGTCTGGGTGACAAAGAAACTTACAAGTCAAAGAATGCAAACTGGCTGGGCTCGCTGCCAAACTCGTAAACGAATCGGCTGGCCAGGTAGCTGCCAAAGATGGCGCGCAGGTAGTTCTCCGGCACACGCGAGATGATGGTGTCGAGACCAATCTTGTTCAGCAGCATCTTGGGGAGCGCCTCCCTCAACACACCCTTGCGGATGATGTCGTTCTCCCACAGGTCAGAGTGCTGCAGCTTCTCATCGAGGTCCGTAATGGCTCCCGACAGCTTGTCGGACAGGATAGACCGCGCGATGCCGGTCTGCTCGTGCTCGCGCCAGATGGCCTCGAACTCGAGCCGCGCGTTCTCCTGGATCTTGCTCTGCACCTCCCGGACGTAGTCGTCGTAGAACTGAGGTGCCTTGCCCGACTTGGGGTCGACGCACATGTGCTCGATGAAGCCTTCGGTGTCGAACGACAGGGAAGCCAGCACCTCGAGCGACGACGACGTGACACCTCCCTTGTTGGCAGAGGCATCCTTGTAGAGGATGGCGCCGGCCGACTCCAGGCGCAGCTTAGCATCCTGGGTGATGAACAGGTTGGCACCCTCGACAATGTAGGGGATGATGCTCTTGCCGTCCTTGATGAGCCTGTTGACCGAGATGAGGTCGATGGACTCGGGCCGGCCACCGCAGGGGACGAAGCAGTCCGTCATGTTGGTCTCGCGCAGATGATACGTGTTACGGAACGAAGTGCCGTTGTTGACCACCTCTCCGCTCGGCAGCGTGACGTTGTTCTCATCGCAGAGCACGCGGTATCCGTCCTTGGACAGCTTGGACAGGTCGTACTCGCTGATCATGACACGCTTGCGCGCCAGGCGAATGAGCTCGTCCTTGTCCAGGCCGTTGGGGTCGGCCAGCACACCGGAGCCGTCGACCACGGCCGTGTACTTTTCGTTGCTGAGCAGGATCTCGTTGCTGCCCAGGTCGCCGTCGGGGCCACCCGTCTGCATCTTCCGGACCTGGGACGGGTCCAGGTCGAGCTTGCGGTAGATGCCCTTGACGTACTCGCGCACCGACAGGGTCGTCATGCCGTACTTGTCGTGCGGGATGCCGCCCAGCTTGGGAGACTTGCCGGTGAAGAAGGACTTCCACCAGGGTGCTCCGCGGGCCTTGGCGTGCTCGGTGGCCCAGTCGACCAGGTCGGCCGTGTTCTCGTCGGGACCCATGAACAGGATCTCCTGCTTGCCGTACAAGTCGACAATGGGGTTCTTAATTCCAGGCGTCTCTGCGGGCAGGAGCAGGTCCAGGATACTATCAATGTACTTCTCAAACGCCTCGGTGGCCTTGTCCTGCTGCTTAGGGTCCAGGAGAATGACACCCTTGGATCCGCCCTCGGGGATGTCCTTGTTCTTGCGCTGCTGGGTGCTGGCGAGGCCGTAGTTCTCGTCAAAGAGGTTACGCGCGTTGATGCCGTACGCCTCCTTGCTGCGAGACTTGACAATGCGGATACCGCCACGGGAGATGTCGCGGAAACGGAGGTGGAAGCCACGGGACTCGGCACCAATGACCAGGAACATGCCGTACAGAGGCTTGGGGTACTCGGCCTCGGGCAGGAAAGAGGGGTCCAAGCGGAAGCTCAGGGCGACCTTGGTGGGCGTGAAGTAGTTGGTCTTGAGGATGGCGTTGTTGAAGACGCGGAAGGCGGTCATGACCATCTCGTCGTGCTCGTTGGCCACCGTCTTGGAGATCTTGTCGCGCAGCTTCTCGTCAGACAAGACCTCGACGGCGGGCGTGGCCAAGAGCACGTTGCTGTCCTGGACGCCGAGGTGCACGCTGGCAAAGGCAGCGTACAGCAGACGAACAAGCTCAGGGTACGACTGGATGATCTCGAGGATGTAGTCGGGGGTGAACGTCTCCGTACGCAGACGTCGCTTGAGCTTGGACAGCAGAGCCGCATGGGCGTTCTGCTTGGGGTCAAGGATCTCAAGGAGAGAAGCATACTCGGGGCCCAGACGGTTCAGGAAGTGCTGGACAAAGACCCATGCGCTGTGGGCGTAGACAGACTCCTGCAGACTCAGCTCGCCGGTAGCAAAGAGGTGGTGGAACTTGTTCTGGGG